TTTCTATTTTTGAACACACGTGTCCTTTATTTTGTACATCAGGAAGGGGGGCTAGGGAGGGGTAAGTGGAAAGGGGTGAGGGAGGAATGGGGTACGAGCCCCCGATGGGGAGGACTGGGATGGCTCTGCGGGCTCCTCGGGGTGGAAGCTCTCCTGCAGCTCCCCGATTGACCCCCCCCGGATGGCAGCCTGCGGCAAGTGCAGCCGGGCTGATGGCCGTGTGCTGTGATGTGCTGAGTGTGGGCACTCAGGGCACTCCAAGCCAGGACTGCTTTGCAAGTGGGGAACCCCTGAGAACTGTCTGTCCAGGGTGGGGGTCGGGTCCCTTTAAGCACAGCCCTCGGCTAGCCTGAGACAGCAGTTTCATGTTCTAAGTCCTACTCTGATGCCCTGCCGGCACTGCTTCCGGCCATCCTTAACCTCGGTTCAGGGTCCACTCAGTGTGGACATGCTAGTTTGAATTAGCAAAACGCTAATTCAAACTAGTTTTTAAGTCTGGATGCGCTAATTCGAATTAGCTTAGTTTGAATTAAGTAATTCAAACTAAGTTAGTTCGAATTAGCGCTGTAGTGTAGACATACCCGGAGTGAGTAAGTAATTAACAGTGTTGCAGGCAATATGGAGATGGCAAGTGTTATACAGGAGAGTTTTCCTGCAACTCCTCCTGATTTTCATGCTTCTAATATTCTGGGTGAAAGGGGTATATACTAATGCAATCTTTACTGTCACTAAATGTATTTTTGTTTGCATTAATGGTGACTTGTTATAATCTGAATAATGTAAATGGGTAGGTTAATTTTAAAAATTAAGGCAGAGCATGGAAGGGTTCTTATCTCCTGTTTCCATCTTTGTATGCTACAAATTGTTGTCCTCGTGTGGAAGTGTGGAATTTTCAGGCATAACTATTTCCAACAGGGTGAAGTGAGGCCAAATGTAGCATGAACTCTTGACTGACAGGAACAAAATTTTCAATCACAGAAGTATCTAATCACAGGACCATACACACACATTCCTTTTAAACTTCTCCACTTGACTATATGCACACTAATTGTATAACAGTCATCATCTTCAAACAACTTGTTCAGATGTGTAATGCTTTGTTCTCTATTGTTTGTAGATCATTGATCAAAAGAAAATGGCAAATTAATATTTAAATAATGGAAAGCTGCACATACCAAACACTTCCTTTTCAATGGGCAAGTTACTGACAATCACCTCAGATAAAGGAAACCACCTGTTTCTGTTTCTCAAAATAAAGCTTTGAAGTATTTGGTAGAAAAAAGATAATACTTCAGTGGCTCAAATGTTCCACAAACATCATCAAAGAGCTCAGGCAGAGGGATCGCTGACCTAAGTTCGGGTGACAGTGATGCTAGATAGGTCCAGAGAACAGCATTCTCTGTGTGGAGCAGATTGGCTTGCTCCTGTGACATCTGATTCTCAGTGCCCAGCTGTACATTCTGTGATTGCAATGATCAGTTGTCTGCCTGGAGATGGATCACCTGCTTGTGCAGCACTGATGCACCTTTGTGTATGGGGATTCCTCTGGGTCCATCCTGAGTAAGGCCAAGCTGAAGGACTTGGAGTGGTTTAAGCAAACTGTGAGGGCTTGGGCATGGTCAGTCAGGTTAGTGGTTGGAGTGAGGAGCCAGAAACTAGAGTCAATGGTCAGAGCTGGAAAGGGTCAGGTGTCAATCCAAAGGTCAAGCCAGAGCCAAGAGAGAGACAGAGAGAGAGGCAGGGGGGGGGCGAGAGGGGGGGGGGGGGGGGGGGGGGGGGGAAGAGCAGTGACATGGAGTAAGGCAAGAAGCAGGAACCAGGAGCAGAGGACATGATATAAGGAGGGCAGGAACCAGAAAGAATCTTGGAGGCAGGAAGACAGGATTCAGCGTAATAGACAAGGTCCAAAGTGGCAGCTAGAAAAGGATTCTTCTAGTTGCTTGGACAACTTCCTATGCCTCCCTGACTCTGTCAGGGCTTTGTGAGTGGACTCCTTCATTTTTCTAGAGCTCCACTAGCTCCCTCCTCTACTGGTTCTGGAAAGCTGCCTGATGGTAGCCATCATCTGAATAGTTAGCCTGCCTTTGAAACCCACAATTCCTCACAGCATAGTCACGCTAGTGCCAAATTCAGAAGGATATAACCTTTCTACTTAAAATTCCCCTATTTATACATCCAAAGATCACATTAGCTCCTTTGGCTTCAGCATCACAATGGGAGTTCATGATCAACTGATTATCCATCATGACTCTTACCTCCTTTTTAGAATCACTACTGCCCCCATCCTGTGAACAGGGCCCTTCATTCCTTTTTTCTAGATGCATGACTTTACATATGGCCATATTAAAACACTTGCACAGCAAGCTCCATTGGCTGGCCTAATGATAAAGGCGGTGCTGCATGCTCAGATTGGGTTGGTGCTGGCCCTGTAGGGGGATGGGTGCCAGAGCTAATACAGTCACTGGTGCAGATGATAGTGCTGGAGCTGGCACTGAATTCAGTGCCCGCACCATGCTTGGGGCTTGAGCTGGTGCTGGAGGCAGAGCTGGAGGAGTCAAAGTTGTCAACACTTGGGTGGACTTGTGGTGTTCCCTTGGGGCTGGGGCCAGGGCGCTTGGGGCCTTAGCATCGACACAGTGCCATTGGCACTCTCATTCCCTCCTCGAGGCTGACACTGAGACTGGGAATGAGGTTAGTTCAATGAGGTCCCTTGAAGCCTCAAATGTGTCCAGCATTGATGGCTCCAGGAGGTCTTCCACTGGGCTAGGGTCCTGGCATGGGATGGGACAATCTGACCTTGAAGATCCAGGTACTGAGCCTGCTGTTGCCCTATGCCCCTCCTGAGGGCAAACTGTCGGTGCATGCCATAATGGGGACCTGCTTCGGCTTGGTCTCTGTTTCTTCTGCAGCACCGGGAATTGGGATTGGTGCCGTTGCCTTCTCAGTGCTGGGGAGTCCTGTGAGTGGCTGGGTGTCTCGTGCACAGAAGCTGGTGCATTCTTTGTGGCTGGTGCAGGGTCCATCGCTGGTACCGGACAGAGCCACCTCCATCAGCAGGATCTTCAGGAAGAACTCACGCTCTCACCTGGTGCGCAGCTTGAACCTCTGCAAATCTTGCAGAACTCAGGAAGATGGGCCTCCCAGAAGCATTTAGGCAAGCTTTGTGTGGGTCCCCACAGGGCATAGGCTTCAACCTCTTGATGCGGGGTTTGAAGCCTTGAGGCCCAGGCATGCCCCACAGCAGGCACTGAGAACATGAAGTAAGTCCCTGCACCCGAGAGAACTACTTATACTAAGAACTATTTATAGAGATAATGAGAACAATTAACACTAACTAACCTACAAGAACAAACTGGGTGAGAACTGCTAAGAGCACTTGTAGAGCAAGAGCAGAGCATGTTCCAATGACCGTCACAAGCGGTAAGAGGGATCTGAGGGGATGGAGTGCCATCAGAGGTATATATTAACCAATATAGCAGTGCCACTCTAGAAGGCTCCCTTGCTGGCCCAACACATACTGCTAAGGGAAAAACTTCCGATTACACATGCACGCAGCATGCACACATCTATATGGAATGGATATGAGCAATCATTTAAAGAGGAATATGTTTCTATTAGTGCTGCATCTAATGTTTATTTAAATGTATTTTGTTTATATAAGAATTAGATACAGTGCTCCTGTTAGCTAATTGCTAGAAAAAAACTAGTGTTTTCAAGTGCCTTAATAGCTCCTGGAAAGATGAGATATGTGTTTGGAGAGGGGAGAGGGTGGACAGGAATGGTCCTCCCCACAGAATTTGCTGTTTGGCTTGTGTTTAGGATGCTCTATAACACTGCTGAAGCTGTTGTCCTCAGTCTGCCTTTCCCCTGCCATGCTCTCACTCTCCTCTTCCAATCATGGCATGTACAGGTCACCTCCCCACTACCAAATTCTGAAGTGGTGCAAATGCCTCAGCAGTAGGCACTGGGGTGGTAAGTCATGCCCTGTTACGCTACCATGCAATCAAGCATTATAAACTTACGAAACTCAGACACAAGGTTACAGTTAAAAGAAACATCTATCAGGGATGGTCTAGAAAAAAACCAACAAAAAAAACCATTCCAATGTCTTTAAAAATCAATGTAGTGCCTATGGTTCCAAATTAAATTACCTAAATCATTGCTGCTTGGGTATTGCATGGCATCAGTATTTTCTGAACCATACAGATTTGGGTTACATATAGGAACCAAAAGTTACATAATTTAAAAAATGGTAACATGTGTGCAACTAGTTGAACCCATAAAAGTTCTTTCATGCATAAACTGATACCAATTATTTTAACCATATATGTAAACATATTTGTGGAAAAAAATCAAAAAAGTGCCACAGAGCAGAATATCCTATACATACCTTTGACAGCTCCATTCCCGGTCCACACTGTTTGCAGAGGATACAGTTTCCAGCATAGTCCCTGAACTCTTGCTCTCTACAATCCCCCGTCTCACAAATTCCTTTTCTTGACTTAAAAAAAAAAATCAAGCAGTTAAAAGAAATAAGCAATGATGCTTTGCAGTTAATCTGGGCATTTAAATCTAGGCCACATAATTGATTTAAAACACTATGCAATCTTATTATATTAGTTAAAATAGAATGTATAATTATATCTACTTTAGCCCAACACAAATCTTAATACTTAATACTATTTATAAATGATATTAAGTAATCATATCTTACTTTAAATTCACTTTGAGTAAACGTCTTTTCTGTAAGCAATATGGCTCAGTTCATGCTATTCCCCTGAAAATATCTTTCCAGATTATGGCCAAAATTTTCAAAGACAGGTATGTAATGTCGGGCTCTTAAATTCTTATTTAGATGCCAGAATAAGTGGCTTGATGTTCAAAAGTGCTCAGCACCCAGTAACTCCTAGGCTGTGTCTAGACTGCAGCCTTTTTTCGAAAAATCTTCACCTGCGTCTAGACTACAGCCGTGTTCTTTCGAAATTAAATCGAAAGAACGCGGCTTCTCTTTCGACGGCGGTACTCCTCATTTCACGAGGAAGAACGCCTTTTTTTGAAAGTGCTCTTTCGAAAAAAGGCGTTCTTGAATGCAAACAGGGCTTTTTCGAAAGAGAGCATCCAGACTGCCTGGGTGCTCTCTTTTGAAAAAGCAGATTGCTTTTTTGAAAGTACTGCTTGCAGTCTAGACGCTCTTTTTCGAAAGAGGCTTTTTCAAAAGTGTCTTTCAAAAAAGCCTCTTTTGAAAGAGGCTTGCTGTCTAGACGTAGCCCTACTGACTTCAATGGGCTGGCGGGTTTTTTTGGGGGTGGGCGAGGAATCAGGCAACTTATTTAGATATTTAAATATGGATTTATGTCCTAACTTCAGGCTCACATTTTTGAAAAAAAATATTTTAATATATTTTTATACCTCTAATTTGTTCTAAATTGCAAGAGTGGGTTTTAGTTCAGTTATTTAAGGCATCTGTATATTTTGTAATCTGGGAAGATTAGAATCAGTAAATTTAAGTATACATTTTAAAAGAGATTTTCAATGGCATCCAGATGTTAGGATGAACACTTCAAAAGAATTTGCATCAATATTCTCAGAATTATTTTCTCTCTTAATTCATTAAATACACATAGAGATGCAATTTTTACCTTCTACAATTTCTTACTACAGCTTCTGACCAAGCTAGAAGCTACAGCTCTGATGCTGCAATGCAATCTTCACTACAAACAGAGACATCAATACAGAATCTCAGTAAAACCAGTGGGACTCTGCAGAGGTGCAAGAGTCTCCATGCACAAATCCTACTGCAGCATTAAACTCAGTACATTTTGTCTCAAACACATACCAACTTTTTGGACTAAATGACTATGGCCCAGTTAATCACTTTAATCAAAAGCACATTCTGTAAAATGATTTTGGAAATCAGTCTCGTTCCAAGTGTGGGAAAAAAAGACAGTTGCCTGTTCTTGCAACTGGTGTTCTTCAAGATGTGTTGCTTACATCCATTGCAATCAGGTGTATGTGTGCTGCGTGCACGAATGTCGGAAACTTTTCCCCTAGCACTCTCATAGGGTCAGCTGTGGAGAACCCTAGAGTGGTGCCACTATATTAGCGCATATATACCATTGTCACATATATACCTGCCCTCCTTTGGTTCCTTCTTGCCAGCTTCTCCAACAGTGGGGAAGGAGGGTGTTTAGGCCAGTTTAGGGCCCAGAGGAGGCTTGGAGGAGTTGTTCCCGATTATTCTGCTGGGATGGCATACTCCTCTTGTATTTTTCCTATTGTGCCTGCTGGTTAGTGATCCTCAACTGCAGGCCCCCTTCAGAGTAGATCGTCCTGCCAAACAGGTCAGTCTTCTTGGCCTCCTTGGCCTTGGGGGCCAGGGCCTGCTGCCTATGCCTCTTCTTCTCATTGACAGCTGAGACCATGCCACAATTTATTGGCAACCTCTAATATGGACTCATCCAGAGGGATGGCCAATTTTGAAGTATGAAGCATCTGGAGATTCGAGAAGACTAGGCTGTTTCTCCTGGATCTCAGTAAGCTGAATCTCCTGGGAGACTGCTACTCTTTTTAAAAGGTCCTGGAATTGCCTGAGATCGTCGGGGGGGGGGGGGGGGGGGGGGGGGGGGGGAAGAGCAGTGACATGGAGTAAGGCAAGAAGCAGGAACCAGGAGCAGAGGACATGATATAAGGAGGGCAGGAACCAGAAAGAATCTTGGAGGCAGGAAGACAGGATTCAGCGTAATAGACAAGGTCCAAAGTGGCAGCTAGAAAAGGATTCTTCTAGTTGCTTGGACAACTTCCTATGCCTCCCTGACTCTGTCAGGGCTTTGTGAGTGGACTCCTTCATTTTTCTAGAGCTCCACTAGCTCCCTCCTCTACTGGTTCTGGAAAGCTGCCTGATGGTAGCCATCATCTGAATAGTTAGCCTGCCTTTGAAACCCACAATTCCTCACAGCATAGTCACACTAGTGCCAAATTCAGAAGGATATAACCTTTCTACTTAAAATTCCCCTATTTATACATCCAAAGATCACATTAGCTCCTTTGGCTTCAGCATCACAATGGGAGTTCATGATCAACTGATTATCCATCATGACTCTTACCTCCTTTTTAGAATCACTACTGCCCCCATCCTGTGAACAGGGCCCTTCATTCCTTTTTTCTAGATGCATGACTTTACATATGGCCATATTAAAACACTTGCACAGCAAGCTCCATTGGCTGGCCTAATGATAAAGGCGGTGCTGCATGCTCAGATTGGGTTGGTGCTGGCCCTGTAGGGGGATGGGTGCCAGAGCTAATACAGTCACTGGTGCAGATGATAGTGCTGGAGCTGGCACTGAATTCAGTGCCCGCACCATGCTTGGGGCTTGAGCTGGTGCTGGAGGCAGAGCTGGAGGAGTCAAAGTTGTCAACACTTGGGTGGACTTGTGGTGTTCCCTTGGGGCTGGGGCCAGGGCGCTTGGGGCCTTAGCATCGACACAGTGCCATTGGCACTCTCATTCCCTCCTCGAGGCTGACACTGAGACTGGGAATGAGGTTAGTTCAATGAGGTCCCTTGAAGCCTCAAATGTGTCCAGCATTGATGGCTCCAGGAGGTCTTCCACTGGGCTAGGGTCCTGGCATGGGATGGGACAATCTGACCTTGAAGATCCAGGTACTGAGCCTGCTGTTGCCCTATGCCCCTCCTGAGGGCAAACTGTCGGTGCATGCCATAATGGGGACCTGCTTCGGCTTGGTCTCTGTTTCTTCTGCAGCACCGGGAATTGGGATTGGTGCCGTTGCCTTCTCAGTGCTGGGGAGTCCTGTGAGTGGCTGGGTGTCTCGTGCACAGAAGCTGGTGCATTCTTTGTGGCTGGTGCAGGGTCCATCGCTGGTACCGGACAGAGCCACCTCCATCAGCAGGATCTTCAGGAAGAACTCACGCTCTCACCTGGTGCGCAGCTTGAACCTCTGCAAATCTTGCAGAACTCAGGAAGATGGGCCTCCCAGAAGCATTTAGGCAAGCTTTGTGTGGGTCCCCACAGGGCATAGGCTTCAACCTCTTGATGCGGGGTTTGAAGCCTTGAGGCCCAGGCATGCCCCACAGCAGGCACTGAGAACATGAAGTAAGTCCCTGCACCCGAGAGAACTACTTATACTAAGAACTATTTATAGAGATAATGAGAACAATTAACACTAACTAACCTACAAGAACAAACTGGGTGAGAACTGCTAAGAGCACTTGTAGAGCAAGAGCAGAGCATGTTCCAATGACCGTCACAAGCGGTAAGAGGGATCTGAGGGGATGGAGTGCCATCAGAGGTATATATTAACCAATATAGCAGTGCCACTCTAGAAGGCTCCCTTGCTGGCCCAACACATACTGCTAAGGGAAAAACTTCCGATTACACATGCACGCAGCATGCACACATCTATATGGAATGGATATGAGCAATCATTTAAAGAGGAATATGTTTCTATTAGTGCTGCATCTAATGTTTATTTAAATGTATTTTGTTTATATAAGAATTAGATACAGTGCTCCTGTTAGCTAATTGCTAGAAAAAAACTAGTGTTTTCAAGTGCCTTAATAGCTCCTGGAAAGATGAGATATGTGTTTGGAGAGGGGAGAGGGTGGACAGGAATGGTCCTCCCCACAGAATTTGCTGTTTCGCTTGTATAGGATGCTCTATAACACTGCTGAAGCTGTTGTCCTCAGTCTGCCTTTCCCCTGCCATGCTCTCACTCTCCTCTTCCAATCATGGCATGTACAGGTCACCTCCCCACTACCAAATTCTGAAGTGGTGCAAATGCCTCAGCAGTAGGCACTGGGGTGGTAAGTCATGCCCTGTTACGCTACCATGCAATCAAGCATTATAAACTTACGAAACTCAGACACAAGGTTACAGTTAAAAGAAACATCTATCAGGGATGGTCTAGAAAAAAACCAACAAAAAAAACCATTCCAATGTCTTTAAAAATCAATGTAGTGCCTATGGTTCCAAATTAAATTACCTAAATCATTGCTGCTTGGGTATTGCATGGCATCAGTATTTTCTGAACCATACAGATTTGGGTTACATATAGGAACCAAAAGTTACATAATTTAAAAAATGGTAACATGTGTGCAACTAGTTGAACCCATAAAAGTTCTTTCATGCATAAACTGATACCAATTATTTTAACCATATATGTAAACATATTTGTGGAAAAAAATCAAAAAAGTGCCACAGAGCAGAATATCCTATACATACCTTTGACAGCTCCATTCCCGGTCCACACTGTTTGCAGAGGATACAGTTTCCAGCATAGTCCCTGAACTCTTGCTCTCTACAATCCCCCGTCTCACAAATTCCTTTTCTTGACTTAAAAAAAAAAATCAAGCAGTTAAAAGAAATAAGCAATGATGCTTTGCAGTTAATCTGGGCATTTAAATCTAGGCCACATAATTGATTTAAAACACTATGCAATCTTATTATATTAGTTAAAATAGAATGTATAATTATATCTACTTTAGCCCAACACAAATCTTAATACTTAATACTATTTATAAATGATATTAAGTAATCATATCTTACTTTAAATTCACTTTGAGTAAACGTCTTTTCTGTAAGCAATATGGCTCAGTTCATGCTATTCCCCTGAAAATATCTTTCCAGATTATGGCCAAAATTTTCAAAGACAGGTATGTAATGTCGGGCTCTTAAATTCTTATTTAGATGCCAGAATAAGTGGCTTGATGTTCAAAAGTGCTCAGCACCCAGTAACTCCTAGGCTGTGTCTAGACTGCAGCCTTTTTTCGAAAAATCTTCACCTGCGTCTAGACTACAGCCGTGTTCTTTCGAAATTAAATCGAAAGAACGCGGCTTCTCTTTCGACGGCGGTACTCCTCATTTCACGAGGAAGAACGCCTTTTTTTGAAAGTGCTCTTTCGAAAAAAGGCGTTCTTGAATGCAAACAGGGCTTTTTCGAAAGAGAGCATCCAGACTGCCTGGGTGCTCTCTTTTGAAAAAGCAGATTGCTTTTTTGAAAGTACTGCTTGCAGTCTAGACGCTCTTTTTCGAAAGAGGCTTTTTCAAAAGTGTCTTTCAAAAAAGCCTCTTTTGAAAGAGGCTTGCTGTCTAGACGTAGCCCTACTGACTTCAATGGGCTGGCGGGTTTTTTTGGGGGTGGGCGAGGAATCAGGCAACTTATTTAGATATTTAAATATGGATTTATGTCCTAACTTCAGGCTCACATTTTTGAAAAAAAATATTTTAATATATTTTTATACCTCTAATTTGTTCTAAATTGCAAGAGTGGGTTTTAGTTCAGTTATTTAAGGCATCTGTATATTTTGTAATCTGGGAAGATTAGAATCAGTAAATTTAAGTATACATTTTAAAAGAGATTTTCAATGGCATCCAGATGTTAGGATGAACACTTCAAAAGAATTTGCATCAATATTCTCAGAATTATTTTCTCTCTTAATTCATTAAATACACATAGAGATGCAATTTTTACCTTCTACAATTTCTTACTACAGCTTCTGACCAAGCTAGAAGCTACAGCTCTGATGCTGCAATGCAATCTTCACTACAAACAGAGACATCAATACAGAATCTCAGTAAAACCAGTGGGACTCTGCAGAGGTGCAAGAGTCTCCATGCACAAATCCTACTGCAGCATTAAACTCAGTACATTTTGTCTCAAACACATACCAACTTTTTGGACTAAATGACTATGGCCCAGTTAATCACTTTAATCAAAAGCACATTCTGTAAAATGATTTTGGAAATCAGTCTCGTTCCAAGTGTGGGAAAAAAAGACAGTTGCCTGTTCTTGCAACTGGTGTTCTTCAAGATGTGTTGCTTACATCCATTGCAATCAGGTGTATGTGTGCTGCGTGCACGAATGTCGGAAACTTTTCCCCTAGCACTCTCATAGGGTCAGCTGTGGAGAACCCTAGAGTGGTGCCACTATATTAGCGCATATATACCATTGTCACATATATATGTGCCCTCCTTTGGTTCCTTCTTGCCAGCTTCTCCAACAGTGGGGAAGGAGGGTGTTTAGGCCAGTTTAGGGCCCAGAGGACTTGGAGGAGAGTTGTTCCCGATTATTCTGCTGGGATGGCATACTCCTCTTGTATTTTTCCTATTGCGCCTGCTGGTTAGTGATCCTCAACTGCAGGCCCCCTTCAGAGTAGATCGTCCTGCCAAACAGGTTGGTCTTCTTGGCCTCCTTGGCCTTGGGGGCCAGGGCCTGCTGCCTATGCCTCTTCTTCTCATTGACAGCTGAGACCATAAGAGAGGAGAAGGGATGGGGGTGTAAAAATAAGAAACTCGTATCCTTTGGAGGGAACAAAGTACCTCCTCTTGACGCCTTTGGCCATTGTGGGAATAGATGCCGGGGTCTGCCTCAAGTTTGTGTAGTTCAACTATATAGTCTTTATAATTGGCAGAGGTATCCTGGATGGCCCTTCCTGTGACAGAATATCCAGACATGGAAGTGCCCGACAGTGATTCGTCAGGAGACGAGGACAAATAGGCACGGGAGGGCAATGTCTTCTGCGCAAGCACTGGGGGTTGTTAGGCTCCGGGTTTCCCTTCCAGTACTGCATGATGCCTTGACCTGGATGGCTGATCACAGGACTCAGGTGGTGGGCTGTCACATCTTGATGAACAGGATTCCGTTGCTGACGGTGCTCTTGAATGGTGCCTGTCCCATAGGGACTGGGACCTGTGGCTCACTGACGCTGTTGACCTAGGCACTCCTTAGGACTAATGGCATGCCCAGGGTGTCCAGAAAGGCCACTATGCAGGCAATGACCATTGTTTCTGCCACAGTGCCAGGGAGTCCACATTGCCACGCTCAGTGCCTGCATCTGATTCTGACTGCAACTGCGATGACCATGGTGGTGCTAGTGTCTTTGGGAACCTCAAGCGATATCAGAAGAGTCTGGACCCGGAATGGTGCTGAGCGCTTCTGGACCTCGACCTCAACCTAGATTGGGAGATCAATCTCAGTGCCGAGTGTCGTTCACTCAGTGCCATCCTGGGAGTCGGTGCCATGTCCTCTGTCAGCATCAGCAGCGAGGCGATCCCTCCAATGAGGATGACCTGTCCGGTGCTGTTCTGCAGACTGTGGTCTATGCAGCATCACCAGCTTCCCCCTTAAGCAGTGAGGTCTTGGCAGTGCCAGTGGCTTATCGCACACCCTGGATGCCTCAGCCTCTGAAGTTACCAGGCATTGAGGAAGGGTTTAAGACCTGCACTGGACGAGGTCCCTTGAAGCCTCAAATGTGTCCAGCATTGATGGCTCCAGGAGGTCTTCCACTGGGCTAGGGTCCTGGCATGGGATGGGACAATCTGACCTTGAAGATCCAGGTACTGAGCCTGCTGTTGCCCTATGCCCCTCCTGAGGGCAAACTGTCGGTGCATGCCATAATGGGGACCTGCTTCGGCTTGGTCTCTGTTTCTTCTGCAGCACCGGGAATTGGGATTGGTGCCGTTGCCTTCTCAGTGCTGGGGAGTCCTGTGAGTGGCTGGGTGTCTCGTGCACAGAAGCTGGTGCATTCTTTGTGGCTGGTGCAGGGTCCATCGCTGGTACCGGACAGAGCCACCTCCATCAGCAGGATCTTCAGGAAGAACTCACGCTCTCACCTGGTGCGCAGCTTGAACCTCTGCAAATCTTGCAGAACTCAGGAAGATGGGCCTCCCAGAAGCATTTAGGCAAGCTTTGTGTGGGTCCCCACAGGGCATAGGCTTCAACCTCTTGATGCGGGGTTTGAAGCCTTGAGGCCCAGGCATGCCCCACAGCAGGCACTGAGAACATGAAGTAAGTCCCTGCACCCGAGAGAACTACTTATACTAAGAACTATTTATAGAGATAATGAGAACAATTAACACTAACTAACCTACAAGAACAAACTGGGTGAGAACTGCTAAGAGCACTTGTAGAGCAAGAGCAGAGCATGTTCCAATGACCGTCACAAGCGGTAAGAGGGATCTGAGGGGATGGAGTGCCATCAGAGGTATATATTAACCAATATAGCAGTGCCACTCTAGAAGGCTCCCTTGCTGGCCCAACACATACTGCTAAGGGAAAAACTTCCGATTACACATGCACGCAGCATGCACACATCTATATGGAATGGATATGAGCAATCATTTAAAGAGGAATATGTTTCTATTAGTGCTGCATCTAATGTTTATTTAAATGTATTTTGTTTATATAAGAATTAGATACAGTGCTCCTGTTAGCTAATTGCTAGAAAAAAACTAGTGTTTTCAAGTGCCTTAATAGCTCCTGGAAAGATGAGATATGTGTTTGGAGAGGGGAGAGGGTGGACAGGAAAGGTCCTCCCCACAGAATTTGCTGTTTGGCTTGTGTTTAGGATGCTCTATAACACTGCTGAAGCTGTTGTCCTCAGTCTGCCTTTCCCCTGCCATGCTCTCACTCTCCTCTTCCAATCATGGCATGTACAGGTCACCTCCCCACTACCAAATTCTGAAGTGGTGCAAATGCCTCAGCAGTAGGCACTGGGGTGGTAAGTCATGCCCTGTTACGCTACCATGCAATCAAGCATTATAAACTTACGAAACTCAGACACAAGGTTACAGTTAAAAGAAACATCTATCAGGGATGGTCTAGAAAAAAACCAACAAAAAAAACCATTCCAATGTCTTTAAAAATCAATGTAGTGCCTATGGTTCCAAATTAAATTACCTAAATCATTGCTGCTTGGGTATTGCATGGCATCAGTATTTTCTGAACCATACAGATTTGGGTTACATATAGGAACCAAAAGTTACATAATTTAAAAAATGGTAACATGTGTGCAACTAGTTGAACCCATAAAAGTTCTTTCATGCATAAACTGATACCAATTATTTTAACCATATATGTAAACATATTTGTGGAAAAAAATCAAAAAAGTGCCACAGAGCAGAATATCCTATACATACCTTTGACAGCTCCATTCCCGGTCCACACTGTTTGCAGAGGATACAGTTTCCAGCATAGTCCCTGAACTCTTGCTCTCTACAATCCCCCGTCTCACAAATTCCTTTTCTTGACTTAAAAAAAAAAATCAAGCAGTTAAAAGAAATAAGCAATGATGCTTTGCAGTTAATCTGGGCATTTAAATCTAGGCCACATAATTGATTTAAAACACTATGCAATCTTATTATATTAGTTAAAATAGAATGTATAATTATATCTACTTTAGCCCAACACAAATCTTAATACTTAATACTATTTATAAATGATATTAAGTAATCATATCTTACTTTAAATTCACTTTGAGTAAACGTCTTTTCTGTAAGCAATATGGCTCAGTTCATGCTATTCCCCTGAAAATATCTTTCCAGATTATGGCCAAAATTTTCAAAGACAGGTATGTAATGTCGGGCTCTTAAATTCTTATTTAGATGCCAGAATAAGTGGCTTGATGTTCAAAAGTGCTCAGCACCCAGTAACTCCTAGGCTGTGTCTAGACTGCAGCCTTTTTTCGAAAAATCTTCCCCTGCGTCTAGACTACAGCCGTGTTCTTTCGAAATTAAATCGAAAGAACGCGGCTTCTCTTTCGACGGCGGTACTCCTCATTTCACGAGGAAGAACGCCTTTTTTTGAAAGTGCTCTTTCGAAAAAAGGCGTTCTTGAATGCAAACAGGGCTTTTTCGAAAGAGAGCATCCAGACTGCCTGGGTGCTCTCTTTTGAAAAAGCAGATTGCTTTTTTGAAAGTACTGCTTGCAGTCTAGACGCTCTTTTTCGAAAGAGGCTTTTTCAAAAGTGTCTTTCAAAAAAGCCTCTTTTGAAAGAGGCTTGCTGTCTAGACGTAGCCCTACTGACTTCAATGGGCTGGCGGGTTTTTTTGGGGGTGGGCGAGGAATCAGGCAACTTATTTAGATATTTAAATATGGATTTATGTCCTAACTTCAGGCTCACATTTTTGAAAAAAAATATTTTAATATATTTTTATACCTCTAATTTGTTCTAAATTGCAAGAGTGGGTTTTAGTTCAGTTATTTAAGGCATCTGTATATTTTGTAATCTGGGAAGATTAGAATCAGTAAATTTAAGTATACATTTTAAAAGAGATTTTCAATGGCATCCAGATGTTAGGATGAACACTTCAAAAGAATTTGCATCAATATTCTCAGAATTAAGACATACCCTTAGTGACAGGCCATGTGTCTGTGGCTATGGCATGTCCTGGACCTCTCGCTTGGGGGACTTCCATCGGGTTTGGTCCTGTCTTGGCCGGGACTTATAAGGGGATCTACCCATCTTCCTTTCTGCCTCGCGGTGCTGGTGAGTTGGACCTATGTCTCAGCACTATGGTCATCGGCACCAGGGAACATATTTCTTGGATGCACTTGATTTTGGTGCACTATTGTACATGGAGGCGAGAGCACTCTGTACAGAGCTGGCTCCAGGTCCCAACTTCTTAGCCTGAGGGGGTTTTAGTGCCGCTTCGCTGGAGCCTGTATTCCAGTCCTTTCTGGTGTGGGGCTTAAAACTTCTACAGATTTTGCACTACTCAGTGTGGTGTTCTTCACCCAAACAGCGAAGGCATGCCTCATACAGATAGCTGTTGGGCATGGGGCACTTACACACTGCACATGATTTAAAGGCAGAGGTGTTAGGTATGTGTTGGCGCCCAGGAGGGGCTACAGTTCTTGGGCACTTGCTTGCGGGTCTGCTGACGCTGAAGGCTTGCTACTCGAACAAAGATGACAACGAAGAGCGCTATACACTTGGTACTAGACAGTTGCCAAGGCAAGAGCTAGGAAGTTCCAATACTGTCATGAACGGTAAGAAGGAACTGAGGGCGGGCAGGGTCTACTATGGTATATATGCGCTAATATAGCGGTGCCATTCTAGGGGTCTCCAAAGCCAACCCTATGGGAGCTACTAGGGGAAAAATTTCCGACGCTTATACAGACGGTGCGTGTACACCTGACTGGAAGCGACATTGACAAGCACTTGAAAAAGAACATCCACATCACAAAAGCTCACCATCACCCTGTTTGGTAGTTTCAGCGAAAAAGTCTAAGCATGAAACTGCTGTGGAGAACTACCCTCATTCCTACAGATTGTCTTTCTGGGTCAGAGATGAGGCATGCTGACATGGCAGTGAAAGCACACTGGTGCCAATTATGCTGTTGCTGTTTTCTGTATAAATGGAGTATTTGTTTTCTGTGCTTTAAACCTGGTATCTTGCACTGACAGATTATCAATAATGTATTAATGGGTAAGGCTAATTATTATAGTAAAAATCATGGACAAGTCACGTGCAATGCACAAAATTTTATGGAGCCTGTGATCTGACTTTGACTTCACTAAAAATAACTTGGGGGGGGGAGGGGGACAGGGCTAGGTAGAGGGGAGCAATGAAGTCCTATGAGGAGGGACTGACAAGCTGAACCCCTCTCCCCAGCCTAGGCTCCAGCAGCAGCAGAGGAGTGGGTGCACAGCCCCACTCTAGATTTGGCCACATCTGTGGGACAGGGGCTGTAACTCCAACAGGTGGAACCAAACTTGGGACCTCTATAATTAGTGCATGAGCTTCTATAGCTTGAGCTAAAAGCCAGCTGGCTCTCAGCTAAAGCTGTAGAGGAAACTCATTCTTTTCTCTCTCTCTATAAGTGGTCTAAGTGCCACTACATAGGATAGTGTACCACACCCAGCACCTGTGTGGGTTACACAGGCTCAGCTGCAGCTACTGTCAAACCCTGGTTGCTGGTGGAGAGGCATGAGCCTGAGAAGCCATCCTTCATGTGGGTATATTCAGACACGGAGGTGGATTTTTTGAAGAACAGAGGGCAGGAGACTGGGGAAAAAGTGTTACAGTGACAAAAGTGTCAAAGCTAATTTGAACAGAGTTATCTAACTAATTATCACTAACGTTTCCTAAACTAGTGTGTTTGAAATACTGTATTCTATATATTAATAGTTGCAGTAAAATATGTACATTACTACAGCTCACTGGTTTATGCAATTATTTCCTAACATTTATGATGAAGAAAAGAAAATGCTCATTATTTACTTACCAAATACACTAATAGGAGTATTACCATCTTCATTATTTTATCTTGTCTTTGTAATACTTTACTGCCCATTTCTTAGAGTTAAACCTCTCTCCCTTATGAAGAACTAAATCAAAAGAAAAAAAAGAAAATATTTAAAATTCCCAAGTTGGACAGTGAATTTACTTTGAATGTAATAATTTATGTAAAATTCAGAATTGTGAGACTTTAGTGTGCTGAAATAGATATTTGTCAACATTGCTCAAATGTTTAACACAAATAATTCCTAAAATCTAAAATATGAATATCTAATTTACAAATTGTGGGGGTTTTTAAATAAAATTAGTGGCTCCATAAACAAAAGGCTATATATATATATATATCCTTGAAATTTCAATGTAAATTCTTCCATTCACTTAAAAAAATATTCCACGCCCAGAACAATACTGCTGTTCATTTATGACTGAAGAACACCAATATTCTTTGACAGAACTGCCTTACAATGCACAAAGTTGATTTGAAGTTTGCTGCATATCTGGAAGATGCTAAGTTAATTTAAGAAAATAGACATATAAACCAGTCTGTTGTTTCAGGGCCTGATCCAAAGTCCACTGAAGTCAATGGGATTCATTCAGTGGACTGCATCACATTCTAAGTGACAGTTATATATGAAATTCAGAATACCTTATCAGTTTGATCACAGCAGATCCATTTCAATACATCATCCATCTCAGAAAATGGATTCAAATAAAGAATGAGTAAATAAAAGTATAATAATAAAAGCCTTTCTGAAAATGTTTTTGGGAGAAGTAGCAAGAGGGGAAAGACAGGGGGAAATAGGAAAGAGACACAGGTGGTTCTTGGGTTTGGATTTAATTTTTCTAGACGCTGATAATACAACAGGTTCATGATTTGCACATCCACAAACACAAAAGTTTTTAATGAAAAGACAACTTGGAACTAATTTTTCATTTCTAAATTCGGCAGCCAAACAGAAAAAAAACCCCTTAGTTTGCTGTGCAAAAGTCTATAATGAAGACACACAAATACAGCATATAAACCCATTGTATATAATGTTGTTCTGTAAATATAGAAGAATAAGAATTCATTATTAATTTGCATTTCTTACTTGAGTGCACTGTAAAATTATTCCTTCAGTTATTTTAAATGGAAATTAAAAATGGCATTAAAAATCAAAATTAAACTGAATTATGTTTAAAAGTAGGATTGTCAATTAATTGCAGTTAACTCGTGATTAAACACAACATTAATCATGTTTTAAAATTTAATTTAATTTATCACACTGTAAACAACAGAATACCAATAAAGATTTATCAAATATTTTGGATGTTCTTCTACATTTTCAAATGTATTGACTTCTATTACAAAACAGAATACAAAGTATACAGTCCTCAGTTTAGATTTGGTTACAAATATTTTCACTATAAAAATGATAAATAAGAGAAACTAGTTTTCAATTCACCTCCGACAAATAATGTAGTGCAATCTCTTTATAATGTAAGTGCAATTTACAAACATTTTTGTACAGAACTGCACTTAAAAACAAAACTATAAAACTTCAATGCCTACAGTCCACTCAGTCCTACTTCTTATTCTACCAATTACTAAGAACAAGTTTGCTTACATTTTAGGGAGATATTACTGCTTGCTTTTTATTTACAATATCTCCTGAAAGTGAGAACAGAAGTTCGCGTGGCACTTTTGCAAGTAGACATTGCAAGGGATTTATGTGCCAGAAAGGTTAAACATTCATATGCCCCTTCATACTTTGACCACCATTCCAGAGGACATGCTTCCATGCTGATATACTCATTAAAAAAAAAAGAAAGAAGAAATTCAATATAATTGGTATTAATGCTACCATGTGGGATAATTTGCATGACTGAAATGTTAAAAATCACTACAGATAACCTCAGGAAAAGAGGTGAGGGGGGGACACTTTACTTTAGACACCATTAATTGTTAGAGAGTTACTGATAACTCCAAATTAGAAGAAATTGAATGCATATGTATCACTGTGCTAACTTGCAAAGCCCAAAAGGGAATACTGGTGGGGGTCTGTTATAGACTACTAAATTAATCCAGAAACTAGTATTAGATACTGCTTAAGCACCTGTCTATAATATGTGAAAACTAAAATTTTTATGAGGAACTTCAATCTGGGAGACATAAGCTGAAGGTCTCATGCAGCCAATAGTAAAAATCTTTAAAGTTTCTGAACATTATAGATTTTAATTTTCTAACACAAAAGATATTACACCCAACATGAGGTAATTATGTGGACCTGATTATGACTATCACTAAACTAGAAGTTGGTGATTGCCTAGGGATCAAAACAAGCAAATAGAGGACTGGTTCAGTCTACATACCTCGTTCTTCAAAAGGACCAATTTCCTAAAACCAATTAAAATTATGAGCAAATTTTATTGGAAAGAAAAATATATACAGAAAAATATGAATGAAAACTGGAAGTTCTTAAAGAACAGTTTATTAAATTACCAAAAAGCCATGATTCCACAATCAAGACAAATTGGCTAAAAGTCTGTTCTATTTCCAAAGTAAAGTGAAGGCTGGTACGATTGTCAGCCCTCCAGAATTGTCTTGGAGTCCTCAGAAATTAAAAATGAATTTTCATTAAAGATTATATTATGTCATATAAACTTCAGGAATCTATCCAACCAAAACTGGCAATCTTAGCTGTGACAAATATGGCAATTTCCTCAAATATCCTTGAAAAAAAGTTAATTGAATTAAGATTCAGAGGGGTAACTGTGTTAGTCTGTAACTTTAAACTTTAGAGACTAAATATATATATAGGATCCTCAGTTTTAATGGGAACAATCCACTTAATCAAATGTATTAGAGTGGAAAAAACATAATCCAAAATACATATAATAGCAAAAGCAGTTACCTGTAAATTGTAGGACCCGAGTTAATAACGCTCATTAAGTAGGTATTATGTGTCCCATTCATAGCTTTTGATGTGAAAATAAGAATGTCAAAGTCAGGAGAAATTGCCTTAGTAATAGGTTAACCAGGCAATATCTTTATTCAAGTCCAGGTTGACAGAAGAATAGCTACTTTTAAATCCATGACTGAGGCTACGTCTAGACTACACACCTTTTTCAACAGAGGCGAAAAAGAGCGTCTAGATTACATTATGTGGATCAAAAAATCAATCTCTTTTTCGAAAAAGAGCATCCAAACTGCAGCCTGGCTCACACCAACGCGTCCACAAGAAGCACCAGAGTGCCTAGGGGCAGCTGTGGCTCCATGTTTCAGAGTGCTGTGGTGTCCCGAGTGAGGGCAACCAAAGCACGGAGAGAAAAAATGATTTGCTGTCCCTCATCGAGGTAGGCAAGCAAGCAGGGAAAACTGGCTGTCGAGGAGGGGGTCCCTTTAAGCACAGGCCTCAGATAGCCTCAGGCAGCAGCCACACAAAGTAACTCCTAACCTGATGCCCTGCCGGACCTGGTTCCGGCCGGCCTTAAATGCGATTCAGCGTCCACTCAGCATGGACACGCTATTTCGACATAGCAAAACGCTATTTTGAAATGCATTTTGTGAGTAGATGTGTTATTTCGACCTTTTGGCTCTTTCTGCAGGTGGTGAGGGCTATCAATGTGGAGCTGCTGAAGAGGCTTGTCTGTCTGGGAGACCTGGACACCATCATTGCTGACTTTGCTGGGCTTGGCTTCCAGAACTGTGGAGGAGCCCTCGCACACCTTCCCAATCCACGCACTGCCCCATCAAGCAGCCCAATTTATTAATTACAAGGGCTACTTTTCTATGGTGCTGCAAGCCCTGGTCGACCACTGGAGACAGTTTAAGGACATTTGTGTCGGGTGGTCGGGGCAGGCACATGATGCCCTCATATTCCGGAATTCCTACCTGTACTGCAGGTTGCAGGCAGGAACATTTTTCCCCCAGCGGCACCTTCCACTCGGGGACATGCAGATGCCAGTGTGCATAGTGGCCGACATGGCCTATCCCCTGATACCATGGCTCATGAAGCCCTACACCGGCTACCTGGATGCGAGCAAGGAGCTTTTCAACATGCATTTTAGCCAGGCTCACACCCTGGTGGAATGTGCCTTTGGCCAGCTGAAAGGGAGGTTCTATTGCCTTCTCACATGGCTGGAGATGGGCGAACGCAACATCCTGGTGGTTGTGCCGTATGTTGCACCCTCCATAACCTGGTGGAGAGAAAAGGGGAGGCCTTCCTGCTGGGGTTGGGAACAGGTGCTGATGGCAAGGATAGGCCATTTCAGCCGCCCCGGATGGCTGCCATTCGCCAGGTTCACTAGGCTGGTGTCCAAATCCAAGAGGCCCTGAGGGAGAGATTCTCAGAAGGAGCCCACTGATTCTCCCCAGGGCCTTCCCCATGGAGAGTTTGGACTGGCCCACCCTTACCTGTCCCTCCACTACCCTCACCCTCTTCCCATAAAGAATATATTCACACCCGGTTTTCTTTGTACACAGACATTAGTTTTTTATTAGAAACACTATCAGTAAAGAAAATGTGCCAGGTTTGCCGCCCTTGGATTCCCGAACTGCGGAGGAGCCCTTGATGGGACACACATCGCAATCCGTGCTCCGCCCCATCAAGCAGCCCAATTTATAAACAGGAAGGGCTACTATTCGATGGTGCTGCAGGCCGGGATCGACCACCAGGGACACTTTGGGTATGTCTACACAGCAAAGTTATTTCAAAATAACAGCCCTTATTTCTAAATAACTTTAAAAAAATTCTCTGTGTACTGTTCAAATGTGTAAAGGTAAATCTTTCACTCAAAAATAAAGATTTTGTTATATAACTGAAATGACCTTTAACTGGGGTGGCAGGGGACTGAAAACCTGGAGGATGGAGGGGGGCTCAAGTAGGCCACTGCTTCCCTGATCGCAGGGTCCTGCCACCTTCCTGTGTCCTGGCATTGCCATGGCCTTGGGATTGGGTGGAGCTAGAGGTAATCCTGGCCTGGGCAGGAGGGAAGGGCAGCTGGTGGGCCTATGACGGCTCGGGAGCAGGCGGGGCTGGAGGAGCTGGAGGAGCAGGGGCTTGGTGTGCAGGAGGAGTGGTGCCCATCACACGGGCAGGCAAGGTGA